ACTGACCTTGTGGTCCAGTACAGTGCCACACCAAGACTCCATCTAGATGGAGTAAAAGCCTTGCTAAGAAGGATTTCTTCTTCATCGGAAAGCCTGGTCCCAAGGGAGCTGCTAGGAGCTCCAAGTCGGTGTGAAACATTAGAGTGGATTTGTGGGAAAATGTACTTACTCAGAAGGTAAGGGGCTCACTTCACAGTGGATGGAGCCCTCTGCTGGCTACAACTGTCCATGCAGCTCCTTTAAACCAACTTAAAGAGTTGCCCAGGCAGAGTCAGGAGGTCTCAGCTCCTCAGCCTCATCAATCAACTTTGGGGCATTCAGGTATCGACTTTTAAAGAGTTACACAGCAGCAAGTGTATGCCTGTATTCCCAAAACGATCCCACCGGGCCTTCCTACTGAGAATTCACCGAGGCCTTTCACAAGCAGGTCTATGCTGCTTTTTCAGTTCCGCCTGCCAAGATCAGGGTAAATCAATGAAGGTAAACCAGACAACATGACAAGCATGTTCTGGAAAGGATCCTACAGAACCAAAGAACGCTCTCAAGGCTTACAGGGATGAGACCACACCTATCAAAGGAACAGAGAGGTACTCCACAGGGCGAGCCTGGCCCCCACGAGACATTTGGCAATGCTTATGGCATCCAGGTGTGGTGCTGTAGGATAAGCAGTGGACTGCTAACCGCAAAGCCGGCATTCAAACCTACCAGCCACTCCGTGGAAACCCTATACAGGGGGGAGGGTGCTACTGGCACCCAGTATTTGAACCTAGTCATCATTTATATCAAAGGAGCGCTGGTAGTTTTCAACTTGTGACCCTGAGGTTAGCAGCCTGACACGTAACCACTATGTTACCAGAGCGCCTTGGATATAAACAATGGCTAGGTTCAAATACGAGGTGCCAGTAGCACCCTCCCCCTTTCAAGTTATAATAACTAAAACATCTCTGTTGTTTTTGTTGTTGTTGTAGCTACCCGGGTCATAAATGTCTTTTATTCATTCTACCTCACCTGTTCTTCACCAGCCAAGCTCATCTCAGACCTGGGGTTCCTACCGTGCCCTGGTGAAACAACAGGATTCCGTGAGCTGGCCTTGGCCGTCCTACACCTAAATCAAATGGCAGAATTTGCTCAACTTTACCTCCTGTTTCTTTGTATCCTTTCTAGAGTAGAACAGACTAAGATGGGATCTGGCTTAACAGACAATTCCATATCTAGTTATCTCAATATATCAAGATTTCATGAAAAATGTCACACAAAGAGCACACACACCATGACTCTCTATGTAACCTTTTCTTCTAGGCTGGTTTTCCAAATTCAGATGAGGTCAGTGGTTAACCAGAAAATATGAAGCCCAGAGAATGAAAACAAACACGCCTGTACGATGACAACTGCCTAGAGGATAAAATCAACCTGCAGTTTCAAACTGGAATGCCAGTGTTTTCATAGGTGAGGTTACTGAGGCCTAGAGAAAGTCATTACTTGCCCAAGGCACAGAGTAAGCAACTAACAGGGCTGGAATTCAACCCAGGCCATCCAAGTTCAGAGGCTACAGGCTTAATCAATACCTGAATGCCCCCCTCTTTGGTTTAAGGAAGTTAGTACCACATATGAAAGGGGGTGGTCAGAACATACCCATCAATTTTCACTGCCTCCTAAAGTGATAAAGGGATTTTGCGGGAGTGGTTAACTTTCTACATAGCAAAAGACTGAAGTTGTCAAGGACTTCATTCTTCTTGGATGTACCATTAACACTCATGGGAACAGCAGTCAAGAGATCAAACAACGTATTGCATTAGGCAAATCTGCTGCACAAGACCTTTTTAAAGTGTTGAAGAGCAAAGATGTCAGTTTGAGGATTAAGGTACACCTGATCCAAGCCATGGTATTTTCAATAACCTTACATGCATGTGAAAGCTGGACAGTGAATAAGGAAGATCGTAGAAGAATTGATGCTTTTGAGTTACGGTGTTGGAAGAGAGTACCGAAAGTGCCATGGGTTGCCAAAAGAACCAACAGATGTGTGTTGGAAGAAGTGCAGCCAGAGTGCTCCTTGGAGGCCAGGATGGCCAAACCTCATCTCTCCTACTTCAGACATACATTGTCAGGAGGGACCAGTCACTGGAGAAGGATATCATGTTTGGTAAGGTGGAGGGTCAGAGAAAAAGAGGAAGACCTCCCAGCGAGACGGATTGGCAAAGTGGCAGCATCAGTGGGCTCAAGTGTGGTAACAGTAGTGAGGTTGGCCCAGGATCGGGCAGTTTTTGTTCTGCTGTGCACAGAGTTGATATGAGTCGGTACCAACTCGATGGCACCTAACAACAACAACAACATAGCAAAATATGAATCCAAGCATTTGCACAGGTACACTTCTGTGACACTGATGCTGTTCTTGGAGTTGTGCAATCATTCTCGTCTCCTTTTCTGAGCTCTTTCTCCCGCATGAACATGAACTCACCGCAGCCCAAGTTCCTATCGGATCTTTCAAGTTGCTGTTGTCAATTTGAGCTCACCAAACCTTTTTTTTTTTTTTTTTTTTTACTAGTTAAGCTAAGTTATTGTTCAGTTTTAAGAAGACTTAAGGGACATTTTTTATTTAAGGCTTAATGATTCTTAGGACCATAGTTTCATCCATTCTCCATGGCTCCAGAAAGTCTAGCGTCCATGAGAATTTTAAATCTGTTCTGTAATTTCCCCCTTTTGATGAGTATTCTTCTATAGAATCTTTGATCAAAATGCTCAGTAATGGTAGCTGAGCATCATCTTTCTCTTCTGGTCTCATGGAAAAGGAAAAACCCCACACCCACTGTCACTGAGTCAATTCTGACTCATGGCCACCCTCTGTAAGGTTTTTAAGATTGTAAATCTTTAAAGGAGCAAACCACAGCATCTTTCTCTCATACAGCAGCTGGTGGGTTTAAACATCTGAATTTGAAATTGGCAGCCCAACGCCTAGTAGTCAGTCACACGGTCCATATCTTTCTCCTACTGCTGACTCTCCTGCTTCCTCTATTGCAGGGGCAGGAATCACCCAGCCCACAGGCCATATAAGGTCCGCAAAATCATTTGGTCTGCCAAGGCAACCGCAGTTCCAGTCATCACCTTGTTGTTGTTAAGTGCCATCGAGTCTGTTCCAACTCACAGCGACCGTGTATAGGGTTTACAAGCAGTGACTGGTGAGTTTGACTGCAAACCTTGCTGTTCAAACTGACCTCTGTTCAAACTGACCTTGAGGTTGAGTGCTTATCCTACGGCCACACTGTTGTTATTGTTAAGTGCAGTCAAGCCGATTCTGACCCACAGCGATCCTGTATAGGGTTTCTGAGGAGCAGCTGGTGAGTTTGAACCACTAACCTTGCAGTTCAAAGGACTTTGCAGTCTGGTGCATTAACCCACAACTCCACGCCAGGACAGCCACATTAGGGGTGAGTTAATTAAATGTTTGACCAAATATAACAGGCTAACTTTTAAGTTGATAGTTGTGTATGGTCCACGAAGGATGTTATGAATTTTGGCAGAAAAAGGCTCCCGACCCATGCTCTAGTCCTTCAGGTGAATGAAGACCAACTGCTGTACCTTAAATGGCTGTTTACAATCGTTACGACCCCAGGTGCTATACAATGAACTAGGAGGTAGAAGAAAAGCACTAAATATGTAATGAGGCCAATAGCATTGGTTGTACAAAAGCATCAACAACCAATCCTTTTTTGTCATTGTTACAAATACCACACAGTTTCTGCCAATTCAACTTCTCTCACTTCAACTTTTTACAGGCTCTGTACGATAAGCACTGGACTGGGAACCACAAGGTCAGTGGTTTGAGCCTACCAGTCACCCAGTGAGAGACAATGAGGCTTGTCTGCTCATACAAAGATGTACTGCCTCAGAAACCCTATGAGTTGGAACCGACTCAATGACACTTAACAACAACAACATAAAAAATTCTGATAAAACCTTTTTTCAAGACATTCACTTTTTTAAAAAAAGCAGAAACATACTCAATTAGATCTATTACAGGAGAAAAGTTGGGGAGCAAGACTAAATGAGCACCCAGGGGGGTATTTCAGAGTCAGCGAGCAGCCCAAGGAAAGAGGAATCATGTGGGAAGAGTGGCAGGAAAGGGGCATGTGTTGAAGGGAAGAGGAGGGACCACCACTAGGTTGAGGACCATCTAAGCTGGGCAGTGTGCTCACCAGCATTCTACTGAAGCATCACCCTGAAATCTCCAGTTTCCATGGTTGTCCTTCACCCCTGAAACTGTCACCTGCTGTGATGATAAACCTAACATCATAGAAGGTTTACCTCCGGAGAGCTCTCTCTGATAGGCATTATTTCAAATCTTATTTATACCAGAAGACATAGACTCAGAGATGAGAAATAATCTCATCTTTCCAGAGACAGAAGCAACGTGGAGGAAACAGGAATGACCAGAGAATGCTGCCAGCACCATGAGCCTCCTCAACACGTCCAAGAATGAGATGACCTGGAGGGGAGCAGCTGCAGATACAGGAAGCGGAGGAGGAGCTGAACCCGGGGCCCTCTCAGTGCTCACGCAGTCTGTCAGCAACAACACCCAAGTGCTCATCAACCGTCACAGGAAGAAGGCCTTCGACAGACGCTGCCACATGGTCCCCAGGAGAGGCAAGGGCAAGAAGTTGTCCAGGCCTGTCAACGAGGACCACTACATCTCCAAGATGTTCTTGACTGGGGACTCTGTCAGTGTGATCCTGTGGAACCCATCCAGAGCCACTTCCCACTGCCCCGTGAAGACCTGCCCTGTGTTGGAGATAATAAAGTCTCTGTGTTTTTTCTACTAAAATAAATAAATAAATAATAAAAAGACTTTCCTAGCTTTTCAGTCTAGTTACATGATGCAGAGGAGGAAGATTCTGTCCACTTGAGTGGCCCGCTGCCATCTTCTGTACGCAAGCAGTCAAGACAACTGTTTCAGCACCAGCACCGTGTCACCGCCCCGTCAGCACCGTTTAGACTTGGCCTCTTACCTGTCTCTGCATTTCTTCAATCTGTCTTTGGGGGATGCTCTGCAAAATATTGTACATGTCTGACATCTTTTCTTCTGGTACAACCACAGAAGCTCTGGAGACAATAGCAAAAAACACCCGTAAATGCACAGCCTGTTACACAGAGCACATTCGAGTACATTGCCTGGTTTAGTTCTCACAAGCAAAAACAATACTCAAACCTCTTTTAGCTTTTTCTCTCACTTCCTCATGGCCAAACTTTCCACACGGATCTCTTCTACTGGCTAATTCCATCTCCTCTCTTCCAGCTCTCTGTTCCATTCAGCCTCTGTCCTCCCTCCCTCCACTTCATCTGAGTGCTCTAGCCACAGTGGGATTGTCCCGACATGCCACATTCTGTACCACCACGAGGCCACTGCATATGGAATTCCACCTGCCTGGTACCCGCTTCCTCACTCTTCACTGCCTTCTCCTTTAGCTAACTACTCCAATCTGTTCAGTGTTCAGTACAAGGGGACTTTAAGCAGTTCATGGAAACATGGAATTTCTCCACAACATTTGTGAAGTCCAGTCTTGTCTTACACATTTATTACAGAGCACCTGGTATGTGCTGGGCCCCCGTAGTATACAGTGAACAAATCAGATATGCCTGGGGAGGGAGCAAGCAAGACCTGAGAAGACTGAGGGCAGGAGTGGGGAACGTCTGGCCCACGGGCCATATAAAGCCCTCGAAATCATTTTGTCTGGCCCTGCCAAGGCAACTGTAGTTCCAGACATCACATTGTTGTTGTTGTTGTTGTTATGTACCATGGAGTTGGTTCCGACTCACAGTGACCCTGTACAGGGTTTCCGAGGCTGTAAATCTTTATGGGAGCAGAAAGCCTCCTCTTTCTCCCATGGAACAGCTGGTAATTTCGAACTGCTGACCTTACGGTTCACAGCCCGATTCGTAATCACTACGCTACCAGAGCTCCTTAGCCATCACATTAGGGATGAGTTAATTAAATGTTGGCCCAAATACAGCAAGCTAATTTTTAAGCTGATAAACTTTGTGTGGCCAGTGAATAATGTCATACATTTTGGCAGAAACAAAGTTCCCCACCCCTGACCTGGACTCCTAGTGTGGTGCTATATGATCAGCATTGGACTTCGAACCACAAGGTTCGAAGTTCAAACTCACCAGCTGCTCCTCGGAAAGCCTATACAGGGTCACTATGAGTTGGAACTGACTCGACGGCACTTCACACCACCACCCACCCTGACCTAGGGGAAGAGGACGAGTATTCCAGGCAGAAGGACTAAGATATGAAAGGGGCTGAGGATACAGCATGTCAGGCGTGTTCCAGGCACAGCAAGGAGAACAGAGTGTGGAACAGAGTATACAAAAAGGAGAGTAACAGGACATACAGGGAACAGGGAAAGGAGGGTCAGGGAAGAGTACATAGAGTCCCGGTGTGGCGCACTAGGATAGCACTGGGCTGCTAACCGCATGGTCAAACCTACCAACCACTCCTTGGAAACCTTATACAGAGTCACTATGAGCCAGAACCAACTCAGCGGCACTTAACAACAACAAGCCACTATAAGGACTTGGACTTTAACACTAAAAGGGAAGCCCTTAGAGGGGTTAGGACAAAGGCATGAATGGCAATTATCTGATTATATTCCAAAGGATCCATCTGCCTGAAGTGTGGTACAACCTAGAGGAATGCAGGACTTTGAACCGGTTCAAACTAGTTCAGTGACGGTCAATGAAGTAAAACTGGAACAGACCAAAAAAATTTTTTTAAGTGTGGGTGATCCAAAACAAGCATCAGAATAGGAGAAACTACAGGTCAAAGCCCTGGAATGGGAGACTCAAAAGAGGCACAGTGAGCCCTTTCAGGAGCCTTCGGTGTGACAGACGACGAGTTATTACCAAGACTCTGAAGAACAACACATGTTCGGAGCAGTGCGATTGGCGGCCATCTTTGAGAGGGGTCCTGCAGTTTCCGACTCTGCCAGTTCAGAGATTTGGTTGCTAAGGAACGTGCACACTGCCCTTGTTTTCTAAGAGGAAAACTGAGCTTCTATTAGGGTCTCAACCCGTGTTTTTTTCTATTCTGGCTAGTGTTCCAGTTCACCCACATTTTTAAAATTCAAGTCCATTCTGGTTCCACTTCATCACTTGTAACCAAAGTTGGTGGAACCAGAGGAAGCAGGGCTCCAAACTTGTTCATTCTGGTTTGAAGCCCTGCTTGGAAGCTGCCTTTCCACTCCAGATATACCAAATCCAAATGTACATTTTAACAAGATCCCAGGTCATTCTTAAAAATAAATCCCTAGGTGATGCTTATGTATACCTAAGAATCTTGTTAAATGTAAGTTCTGTGGCTCTTGTTAAAATGCAGATCTGACCTAGCATATCTGGAGTGGAAATACAAATTCTCAGCTGGGGGGAACTGAACTGTGATAAACGGGTTCAAAGCCTTTCAGAAAAGCATGAGAACAGAGAGAGCAACTGGACAAGGGAAGAACAGATGAGAGAAGCGAATGCTGCAGAACGACTTTCTGGTGCTCACCAGGGCTGCAAACCACAAGGTCAGCAGTTCGAAACTATCAGCTGTTCCGCAGGAGAAAGATGAGGCTTTCTGCTCCCATAAAGATTTACAGCCTCAGAAACCCTGTGCAGGGTCCTATGAATCAGAACCGACTCCACGGCACTTAACAAGAACCACAAGGTTTGCCAACAGGTCCAATGGGGTGGGGAAAAAGAAGACAGGACACAAGGAAGCCTTTTCCTTCATGGCATCTAGCGGACTATGTGATCACATTTCTACACGTTCATTTCTGAAAATCGGAACCTCCCACTACTAGGCTAGCCCACTAGGACAGTAAGCATAGCCAGGTCCACTCACCAGCTTGGCCTGCATACCTAGAATACTGTCTAGCACACAGGTGTTGTTGTTGTTGTTAAGTGGCTTTGTGTTGGTTCCGACTCATAACAACCCTGTATAGGGTTTCTGAGAAGCCGCTGGTGAGTTTGAGCCGCCAACCTTGTGGTTCAAATCAACCTTAAGGTTGAGTGAGTGCTTACAGTGCTACCCCAGGGCTCCACACAGCACTTGTTAGATAAATGCACGACTTCGTGGTGCTGTAGGATAAGCCCTGATCCACAAAGTCGATCTGAACTACAAGGTCAGTGGTTCTAATCCACCAATTGTTTCTGGGAAACACTATAAAGGGCCACTATGATTTGGAATCAAGTCGACTGTACTTAATAGCAACAACTATAGAGATGAAGGAGCTCTGGTAGCATAGTGGTTATGAATCAGGCTGCTAACCTGAAAGTCGGCAGTTCGAAACTACCAGCTTGTTCTGCAGGAGAAGGATGAGGTGTTCTGCTCCCGTAAAGATTTACAGCCTCAGAAACCCTGTGCAGGGTCACTATGAGTCGGAACCAACTCCACGGTACTTAACAACAACAACATAGAGATGAAGGAGCTCTGGTAGCATACTGGGTTACAAGTTGTGCTGCTAACTGCAAGGTCAGCCGTTTAAATCTACCAGCTTAGCCCATGGGAGCAAGAGGAAGCTTTCTGCTCCTGTAATGATTTACAGCCTCAGAAACCCTAATATGGGGTCACTATGTGTCAGAACCAATTCCATAGCACACAACCACCACCACCACCATTATAGAGATGAGAAAACTGAGGTGCACAAGAAATTAAATGATTTACCATGATCACAAAGCTAGCAAGTGATATCGCCTGCTATCTGACTGAACCCAGGCCTTCTGCCTCTAGATCCATCATTTAGCCAAGGAGACCCCAATTCTTGTAGGACTACCCTTTCAGATTCAGCTCACAGCTACTGCCTTTGTAAAGCCCACTTCACAATACTGTGCTAATTTGTCTTCCCCACTAGATTCCAACCTCCTCAAGAGCACAGACTACAGACTTCCTAACATATGTGAGACACAGGCCTGGATGAATGAAGCTTACTGAATTTGTTGAAATGCCTGTGGTGATGAGACTTGCAGAGAAAGAGTAAAAAGTTGGGAGAGCAGAAAGCAAGTAAGTATTGGAAGCGAGCACAAGCCTGAGAGGAACAAATTGTCAATTAATCATAACCTCCAAAGTCTTGGGGAAAAACAAAACAACAAGAGAAAAGAAGAATACAAAGCCAGGAGCCTACCAATGAGCAGGTTTCTACCTTTTCATACAAATAGAGGCGCTGAGGTCCCTCTGAAACATAATACAGACCCAAGAGACTCTAGAGCCCGGGACATACAACTATGGCTACTAATCAGAAGTGGTGGTTGGTGTTAAGTGCCATCAAGTCGGTTCCAACTCCTAGCAACCCTGTACAGGGTTTCTGAAAGAGCTCTGGTAGAGTACTGGTTACGAGTCGGGCTGCTAACCTCAAGGTCAGCAGTTCAAAACTACCAGCCGTTCTGTGGGAGAAAGCTGAGGCTTTTTCGGCTTCCATATAGATTTACAGCCTCAGACACCCTATGAGTCAGAACTGATTCCATGGCACACTAACTACCACCACCATAGGGTTTCTAAGGAGCGACTAGTGAGTTTGAACCACCGACCTTACGGTTCACACCAACCTTGTGGCTGAGTGCTTATCCTACAGTGCCACACCAAATTCCAATCAGAAGTAGAGGAGTTTTAAAAATTCACAACCCTTGGGTCCAGGATTTTTTTTTTTTGTTGTTTAATTCTCTAGGTAAATCTAATCTGCTGTCATAGTTGAGAATCACTGTTCCAGGGCCAGGGGTCAACACATTTTTATTTTTAGAATGAGCCAGATAATAAATATTTTAGGCTTTGTGCACCAGAAAATCTTTATCAGTTATTTAACTCTGTCCTTACTTAACGCACAAAAACAGTCACAGGTAATACGTAAATGAATAGCTGCGTCTGTGCTTCAATAAAACTTTATTTACAAAAAGAGGAAGTAGCCAACCCCTGTTCTAGGCCACTATACTAACCTTTCTTAGGGAAAATACTGCAAAAGCAGCAAAAAGTCTCCACAGACGTTCTCAAACCTAGATATACATTATAATTACCTGGTGCTTTTAAATCCTAATGCACACAGAGCCAGCGGTCTTAAGATTGTTAGAAGGCAATACCCACCTCTTCCAGTCAAGAACTTCAGAGAAAGGGAGAATATAGGAATCTGCAATGACAATCGGGACACAGCCAGCCTGGAGAACGTCGCTTAGTGCCGCCTGGCCCAGCCGAGCTCCACGCAGGATCACACAGAAGGTAGCTTCCTGCAGGGGAATGAGGCAATTACACTACAGTCCAGCTGATTCATGTCCTTAGATCCCTGAGGCCCTCAAGTTCCCTAGAGTTGAAGTTGATACTGGCTCACGGTAGACAGCACTCAGGAACAGGGGAAACCAAAAACCAACCCAGCAGGCGTTGCGTCCATTCTGACTCATGGGGACCCCATGTGTGTCAGAGCAGAACTATGCTCCATACGGTTTTCAGTGGCTGATTGTTCTTTTAGAAGTAGATCACCAGGCCTTTCTTCCAAAGCACCTCTGGGTGAACTTGTAGCCCCAACTTTGGGATTAGCACATTAACCATCTGTACCACCCAGGAACTCCTAGGTTCAAGGTAGCTGCTATTTGACCACATTTCTTACAGCTCTTGTACTTACATACAAGTAATAACACATCTAGTGACACATCTAATGACACATCTAGGCACCTTAACACAAAAATGCTAAAAGAGTCTACCTGAGTAAGACTTGAAGAGTTTAACTGGTGGCAAGGTTTTGTAGTTCCCCTCTTCAATGTCATCACTGCGGCATTCTGAGAACATTCAGAACTTCCTCTGATCATTCAACAATCTGATGCTCCACAGGCTGATCTGTGTTAGCACTGTGGACTCCTAGGGCAGCACTATGGATCAGCACTAGATTGCAAACCACGAGGTCGGCAGTTCAAATCCACCAGCTGCTCCTCAGAAACCCTATACGTGGTTGTTATGCGTCGTAACCAACTGACAATAACAGCTGTGTACACACACTCTGTGTGGCAGGCCCCCTGTCTGAGCAGCTCTTCCCGTACCTATTACAGACCACCTTCTAACAGCAGTCGTTTCTTCTGGGGCCGAGGACTGCCTAAAGGGAGGGTCCCATCTCTCTGTCTCTTCATCTTTCCGCTTCCCCAGAGCATCTAGCGGTGTGCTCTGCACACAGATGATACTCATTACATACATACAATGCCTTTGAAAAGACATTAAAACAGACTGGTTCTATTTAGAAGCAATAAGGTGAACAAAACCCAAAATATCTTCCTCATTCACTCTTTCAAACCCACTTGGTGTGGGGGTGCTGGAGAAAATGAGAGGTGCACAGGAGAAGACAAAGTTGCAATTGGCAGACCAAAAGAAAAGAAGGCCTGCATACTCTACCGCTCAGTGTCTCCCAGTTTTACCTCTTCAGGAGAAAAAAAAAAAAAAAGGAGTGGGGGGAGGCGGGCAGTGATTGGGTGCATCATGTGGCACAGGCCTCCAGATGGGGTTACACATGCTGAGAACCATTCTTCCTGTCTGGACACAGGTCACATGACCACTGCCATCCCATCAGACACTCCAGAGGGAGGTGCAACAGTCTCAGCACAGCCAGGTCTCCTTGGAGATGTAAAAATCACACCAAACAACTCCATGCTATTATTCCAGGAACAAACCTGACTGTGTGGTGTACTGGGTCACGTGTTGGGTTGCTTACTGTCAGCTCAACAATCTGAACCCACCAGTCACTCCACAGAACAAAGATGAGGCTTTCTGCTCCTGTAAATTTCAGTCTGGGAAACCCTACCCAGGATCGATGTGAGTCAGAACTGACTCAATGGCAGACAACAACAGCACGTGACCTGTGCTTTACTCTGGGAGATACTGACAGATACTCACCTGCAGCAAGGAGCTCTGGTAGCGTACTGGTTACGAATCGGGCTGCTAACCTCACTGTCAGCAGTTCGAAACTGTCTCCTGTTCCGCAGGAGAAAGATGAGGCTTTCTGCTCCCGCAAAGATTTATAGCCTAGGAAACCCTGTACAGGGTCGCTATGAGTCGGTTCCGACTCCACGGCACATTGACAACAACAACTCACCTGCAGCACCTGGGGGTAGTCAAAGACTTGGTGCTTGTGGCAGCGTTTGCGAATGGAGAGGACACCCTCGGAGAGGTTGGTGCATTTATCAAGAACCAACACCGAGTCTCCGTGTTTGGCCTGGAGGGCTTCCAGGTCTTCTCTGAACTCCGGATGGAGTGCCATCTGAGACGACAGGAGGAAGTAGCGCCGTGGACTGAAAAGAGAGAAACAATGACGGGAAAATGGCAGCTGGCACGTTAGTCAGGTTTAGACACGCTGATATGCAACTCGAGGCAACGGGTTTTCACATCCCTTCACACCGTGTGAGAATTATACTGAAGGCTTTAAACGTTATAAAATGTAAGACAGTCATTTTAGTCATTCACACACTAAAACATCAAGCAGCTATTAAATATTTTATTTAGAAAAGCTGTCAATGCTGTGAGGAAACACTTAGGTGAACATGTCACGTTTAGAGAGGATGCTATATACATACCCACATTTGACTATTTGAAAAAAATATTAAAATGTCATCATTAGTCATACCTAGTTACTTTCAGCTACTTTTCCTACTTTCCAATATTTTACTAAGGTATATTATTTTAAGACTCTGAAAAATGTTATTCATTTCAATATAAACAGAGGATCTTTGGAGAAATACTCTGAAAATAGCTGGAAACTGAGTAGAGACAATACTAGCATTGCTAAGTTCAATACAGAAAGGTGTAAGCGCTTAGTGAGCTCAGGTGTATCAGCATTATCTGATTGAAAAGGATCTGTGAGCTGGGCTTTGAACAATTCTTCCTGGTTGAGTCATGGTCAATGAGAAACCAACCCAAATTGTGTAAAGCGTGAGTGTGCCAGAACAATAATAGGGAAGGGAAAACTTAGCCCTACCTCTTAAAACACCAGGGCAGCATGCACACTGCACAGTAACAAAGTCTCTTGATAGGCAGAGTCAGAAACAATGGTGCCTTTCCCAAAGATGGTGGCTGCTCAAAATGCTTTGAAGGTGTTACTGTCCTGGCAGTAACTCAGTCTCAAGCATCAGACTCCCTGAAAGGGCACCCTCTATGCCACTTCTGAATTGCCCATTCCAGGGTTTTGACCCACAATTTTTCCTGTTCCAATTATTGTTCTGGTATACTCAAATTTTTAAAATGTGGTCTGTTCTAATTTCACTGTGTCTGCCATGACTGAATCAGTCTGAACCAGTTCAGAGCTCTAAGAGCCAGGAAATGGGCAACTTAATGGACAGCCCAGCCCTGGCTGTCAAAACAGGAAAAGATAAGAGGCTGCTTCTGACCATCAAAGACTGTCCGTATGTTATCAAGGAGTTCCAGAAAAAAAACAAAGCCACCAATATCAAGGCCACGTGGGCATTTGTGGTGGTGGTGGTTTTGTACCATTGAGTCAGTTCTGATTCACAGCAACCCTGTATAGGATTTCCAAAGAGCAATTGGTGAACTTGAACCGCCAACCTTGCGATTCAAACGACTTTGCAGTCTGGCGCATTAACCCACAGTGTGTTGAGAGACTGTAAATCTTTACGGGAATATAAAGCCTCATCCTTTTCTCACATGTCTGCTGGACATTTGAGGGGGGCCAGGGCAAGCCCATTTTAGTTTTAAGTACATAAAATTGTAAGGTAGACTTGTTTTTCTTTTAAAGACTAAAAGTACCAGCTCTGACTTTCATGTTCCTTCCCAGTGGTGCTGATATCTAAATTTAAGTAAAATCATGCTGAGAACTTGAAGTCTCCCTCAAATAATAACAGTTGGAAACTCCCTATTTAGCTCCTTTTAGAGGAAAAATGGCGGCAGGAATTCCAGCTGAGGGCAGCACAGCTGTGAGAAGACACTATTAAGAACATCCGTCCTCAGCTTCCCTTTGAAACAAATCAGAGGGAGATATAAAATAAAAACAAAACAGTGGTCTCACAACTCTTTGGAGCCTTCCAGGGATGTGGGAAATCCCTACAAAATGACTCTCACAAAGAGCAACACATTTAAAAAGCTGTCATGAAGCTGCTTTCTCTGCCTTCTCCCAATCCTTGGAAGGGTGAAGGCGTCTGTTTTTTGTTTTGTTTTGATTTTGCCTCTACCTGTTTAAGGAATGGGAACTAAAGTTTGTTAAAGACACACACCACAACTGCAGGACCAACCTGCACACGTGGAGAAATGTGCTGTTGTGCAGAACGAATTGAGACCCAAGACATCGATCTCACCCAGCGTTTCTCCACCCTAGCACTACTGACCTCCTAGGCGCCCTAATTCTTTAACGCAGAGTTGTCCTGTGTAGTGCAGGATGGTTAGCAGCACCCCTAGCCTCTACCCACTCGACCTGATGCTGTCCCGAGAACTTCCCACTGTGCCCAGAGTGCCTGCACAAACAATACGGAGTATGCTGGCCACCTGCTTTCCCCTCGGTGAGTCTGGAATATGGGTACACACCAGGCAGAGGTGACTAAATGGAAAAAAAAAAGAGAGAGAGAACACTACACCCGCTGCCACTGAGTTAATTCCAACTCACGGCGGCCCTGCTGGACAGAGCATGGCTTCTCCAGAGGGCTCCCAGGCTGTGGATCTTTATGGAAGCTGACGGTCACACCTGCCTCCGGAGGAGCCACTGCTAGATTCAAACTGCTGACCTCTGGATTAGCAATTGAGTGCTTAACCTTTCTATGTGACTTTGCTGTTAATTGTTGCCAAGTTGGGTCTGACTCATAGCAACTCTGCATAGGGTTTCTGAAGTGCAGGTGATGAGTTTGAACCGCCAACCCTGCAGTTTTAATCGACCCTGCAGTTCAGTGCTTTATCCTACAGAGCCAAACTGGGACTCCTATATGACTGTTGTTGTTAAGTGTCGTCAAGTCAGTTTTGACCCACAGCGACCCCGTATAGGGTTTCCGAAGAGCAGCTGGTGAGCTTGAACCACCAACCTTGCAGCTCAAATGGTTTTACAGTCTGGCGCATTAATCCATTAACCCACAGTGCCACACCAGGACTCCCCTATATGACTAGACCCCAATAAAAATCCTGAATGCCAAGTCTCTAAAAAAGCTCCATGACTGGCAACATCTCACATAAGTTGGCACAAATTGCCCAGGGACTTAGGCTCGTCCTGTGAGATGTGAGTCCACTGGGAGCAGTCACTCGGAAGTTTTACCGTTAGTGCCATCGAGTCAGTTCTGACCCATAGAGAGACTGTATAGATTTCCAAGGAGCGACTGATGAGTCTGAACTGTCGACTCTGAGGTTCAAACAGACTTTGCAGTCCAGCGCATTAACCCACAGCACCACTCCAGTACCGGGTTTACCCTGTGCCTTTTCCATCTGCTGAATGAACTTTGCACCCGCTGGTTGTAATAAATCAGAGTTATGGGTACAACTGTGTGCTGGTTCTAAGAGTCCTCCGAGCAAATCAACAGAACCAGAGGTGGCCTGGCAGACACTCAACACATGCCACTCACAAATGTCTCCACATAAGGCAAGGGTCTTTAAGGCAACTTGTAGGTGAGTTGGACCAGGTACACACGGTCCTTACTTAGCGTTACCTTAGTGCAAGAAAAGCCTTTTCAGGGATTGAAAACTGCAGACGCAGCAAGTGAAGGTGAGTGTGATGAAGAATCGGTTGTGAGTAGGGGTTGGCTCAGGAGTCCTGGTGTGGCTGCTCACCACAGGGTCGGTGGTTCAAACCCACCAGCTGCTCCTCAGAAACCCTATACAGAGTCGACAGCACCTAACAACCCGCACTGCAGCCTAACCCAACATTTGTTGCAAACTGGCCTTCAGTAAAGGTTTGATTTGAACTGAAATGAAGTGAATTGAATTAAATAAACTCCAGAAAGGGATCCCAGAACAACTTCAGATAATAAAAAGGAAAAGAAAAATGAAATTTTAAATCTCCCAAACTTATGTAAATGCTCACAGAAGCAGCAAGCAGGGAAGTAGAGGTTTTAAAAATGACTTTTTCCCTATTAAATAAAAAAAAACAAGCTTACTGCTGTCAAGTGAAACCCTGACTCGCAGTGACCCTACAGGGCAGAAGCCTGGGCCGCCCCGAGGGTTTCCCAGGCTGTCATCTGTCAGGAAGCTGACAACCTCCTCTTTCCCCACGAGGGTACCTGGTGGAGTTTGAACCACTGATCTTTCAGTGTGTCGCTAAGTGCTTAACCATTGTGCCACCAAGGCTCTTCCCTTTACCTATCACAGTTGTTGTTCTTAAGTACCATTGAGTTGGTTCCGACTCATAGAGACCCTGTATAGGGTCTGAAGAACGGCTGCTGAGTTTGAACCACCAACTTTGTGGTTCAAACCAACCTTATGGTCCAGTACACTATCCTGTAGCGCCACCGCAGGAATGCTATGTAAATATGCCACATGAAGATTTTAGGAACATGATGAAAACATACTGTCCCAAAAAAGGTAGCAGTTGGTATCAGGACTGACTGTGAAGGTCAGAAATGTAAAGGTAGATATTTTGCATCAAAAGGAGGGGACTGATTTTGCAATCCAGGAGCAGAGGTCCCTGGGACCATCAAGTGAAAAGAGCGGAGTGTGGGACCCTACCCAGAGAAGCAGTGATGCCGGAAATGGAGGCAGAGATGATGATGTGGACAGATGGAGCGGCTAGGGACACTGGACTCAGGGAGGGAGAGGGGCTGTGTGCTGACTGCCAGGGGGCAGGCCTGTGAGGTGTACCCTTTGATTGTTTGATGATGCATGGAGGGGGTTGTAACCATGGCAATGAAACGAAATACGATAGGATGAATGTAAAGCTGATGTTCTCCCATGTAAACTATTACATAATTCACACACACACACACACAAAAGGAACACAGGGGCAAGTATTTCAATGAAATATGTAAAGACCTCGAGTTAAAAAACCAAAAGGGAGAAACACACTTAGCATTTCTCATGCGAAAAGAACTGAGGAAAAGTTTAGGTCTCAAATTGAAATACTGAAAGATACTCTGGCAAAATATTGAATGACGCAGGAAGCATCAAACAAAGATGGAAGGAATACACAGAGTCACTATACCAAAAAGAAACGGTCTATGTTCAACTATTTCTAGAAGTAGTATATCACCAAGAGCTAATGGTACTGAAAAAAGAAGTCCAATGTGGACTGAAGGCATTGGCAATGAATAAGGCTCCTGAAATTGCTGTAATACAAACTAAAATATTTCAACAACTGAGCACTGGAGGCACTTACTATGTCAACAAATTTGAAAGGCAGCTACGTGAAAGAGATCCATATTTGTGTCCATTACAAAGAGAGGTGACACAGCTGAATGCGGAAACCATCGCATAGCATCATTAATATCATATACAAGTAAAATGTTGCTAAAGATATCTCAGTAATGACTGCAACAGTACGTTGACAGGGAGCTGCCAGACATTTAACCCAGACTCAGACGAGGACAAAGAATGAGGGATATCACTGCTGACATCAAAAGATCTTGGCTGAAAACAAGAGAATATCAGAAAGATGTTTACCTGTGCTTATTGACTACACAAAGGCTTCTGACTGTGTGGATCATGACAAATTATAGACAACATTGCAGATAATAAGTATTATGCAACACTTAATTGTACTCATGAGGAAACTGGACCTGGACCAAGAGGCAGTTGTTCAAACAGAACAAGGAAACTGAATGGTTTAAGCAGGAAAACTGTGAGCCAGTGTTGTATTTTTTCACCATACTTATTCAACTGTATGCTAAGCAAATAATCTTAGAAACTGAATTATATGAAAAGAACGTGGCATCAGGTTTGGAGGAAAACTCATTAACAGTCTGTGATACGTAGATGATACAAACTTGGTTGCTGAAAACGAGGAGGACTTGAAATTCTTACTGATGAAAATCAAAGACCACACCTCAATGTAAAGAAAACAAATATGCTTACCACTGGAGTAATAAATAACATCAAGATAAACAGAGAAAAGATTGAAGTTGTCAAAAACTTCATTTTGCTTGTATCCACCATCAACACTCATGGAAGCAGCAGTCAAGAAATCTAACGATGCTGGAGATCATATGATAGAATTTCGTAAGACTAATGACTTCTTCATTGCATATTTTTTTAACAAGCATAAAAAAGGTTACAAAAATGGAGGGATGTGACCCTCAGGATAACCTTAGTGGAAACTGGTGCCCTGGGTACCATTAATTTATTTTATAAAAGGAAAGAAACAAACATTAGTCAAATCTGCTGCAAATGAACTCTTTGAAGTTTTCAAGAGCAAAGATGTTACTTTGAGGACAAATGTGTGCCTTACCCAAGCCATGGCTCATCAGCATGTGAAAGCTGGATGATGAATAATGAAGACAGCAGAATAATTGATCCATCTGAGTTATGGTGTTGAAAAGAATATTACAAGTACCATGGACCGCCAGAAGAACAAAACCCCGTTGGAAGACGTACTACTAGAATGCTCCTAAAAAAACCAGACGATCAGACTTCATCTCTCATACTTTAAGCATATTGTCAGGAGGGATCAGTCCCTCGAGAAGGACATCGTGTTTGGTAAAGTGGAAAGACAGAGAAAAAGAAGGTGACCCCAAACGAGAAAGATTGGAAAAGTGACAGTAGCAATGGGCTCAAGTGTAGCAGCAATTATGAGGATGGTGAAGGCCCGGACTGTGGTTCATTCCGTTGTACGTAGGGTCACTCTGGGTCTGAACTGACTCCACGGCACCTTACCAACAACTTAACATATAGGCTTTCAATAAATAGGAACCATATACATGAAATAAAAGATAGCAGTTGGGCTCATACCAGGGCTTTGAACTGGTCCACTGTGGTTTGACCCTCTACTGAGAATTTGCAGAATCAGAATCTACACTGTAACAAGATACCCTGGAGAATCTAAGAACATATATATACTGTTGTTAAGTGCCATCGAGTCAGTTCTGTCCCATAGTGACCCTATATAGGGTTTCTGAGGAATGAATGGTGAGCTTGAACCACGGACCTTGCAGTTCAAACGGCTCTGCAGTCTGGCACATTAACCCACAGCACCACACCAGGACTCTATATATAATTACCTGGGGGTCTTTTCTATCTCTTCCTGCCTTCTCAGCTCTGTCCCCTGGCAAATGCTGGCCTTCTGATCTTGAATAGTTGATTGTTCTAAGGGGTACAAACTCCCTGGTGTTACTGTTCACTTTAAAGGCTGTTTGCAAATGGTCATAAGAAAATGTTGAGGGTAAAACTGTGAACTGTGCTCTGGACAAAGATAAATGATGCAACAGTATGCTTTACATAAATGGAAGCTTCCTAGTTGGCACAAAGAGAAAAGGACGTAACGAAGGGAAAAAGAGTTCAGAGTACCACCTCAATCTCCAGCTTGGACAACTTGGTAAGACAGCACTATAGCTGTGCCCAGGTAGGGAAAACTATAGGATCCACAGGAATGAGGCTAGGCTGGAGGTGGGATGTGCCACTCAGTTTTCAGTAACTGATGCTCGTCACACTGAACCTCACCAGCATCTCCCGGGGTTCTGCCCAGCAAGCACCTGGCTGTATGGCATGCACCTTACCCTGGTCCCTTTTCAGGAAGATCCACCTCAGCTGACAGCGGACTGTAGACGGGAATGCTGACATCGTAGCCTTGCCGGTAAGTCCATGTAGAAAAGCCACCACCAGCCAACAGAGCCCTGAAAGCAAAGGATTGTGCTACATGTGAGACAGAAACCATTGCAATGAAACGATGGTGTAAAGCCAATGTTCTCCCATGTAAACTAACACTCAGTTCACAATTGGAAGAAAGAAAAAAAAAGTGAAACAGAAAGGTCTTCATTTGTTGAAAATTCCATCCCTGGGTGTTTGATATGGAAAAGGGTAAGCATAATCGAGTCTTCATAATAAGATCAACAGCAGCTATTGTGACCCAAGTCACTTTACAAAAGACACTACAGTAAATGTTTGACATTCACGTCTCCAGACATCAGCTGCGTTCCATCCCCAAGTCACCTGCCTTGCCTGGGTTCACAGACAGTCTTTCCTTTTCAGTCTTTAAACACAGCCCCTGTGCTCCCCTCTCCAGAGCCCACACAGGTCTCCCAAAAGGCACAGGGAGGCAGACCAGAGCAGTCAATTACCAATGCATTGACCAGACTCTGAAGAGACGAGCAGCCAGCATCATACTTACACCGCATGAGCCCCACGTCTCTTCAACACCTCCCCAAGCAGTTCTATGCAGAGTGATGTGCCTCGTGTTGCCTCTACCAGTTCACACGGCCCATTCCAGCTATTGTCTTATTAACTCAATTCCCTATAGGAGAAGCAGAACCCAGCATCAAACCTTTAGGGCTTCTCTTACTGTTTGCATGCACGAGCTCTTATTCGCCATAATTTGAAAATGTAGACCATGTTGCTTTCATTGGATCCAGCAAGTTGTACAATGACACTGCATCAAAGAATGGAAGCAGGTGTGCCTAACTGCTATCTTTTCCCAGGGCCCACGAGCCCATTGTGATCACTTACTGGGGCTGAGTTTGGCCAGTTTCATGCACTGCACGGTCTGAGCCAAAACACCCCAACCAAGAAACCACATTTTCTGCAGTACTGAATGTTACCAATCCTCTCCCCATCCTGATAACAACTTATGCACCCTGCTAACAAACACAACCAGCAGAAGTTGAAAGATTTTCATACCAGCCCTGGAGATGCCAGTCTGCTTGGGTGAGCATTCCTAACCAACCAGGAGCTGCTGGTGAGGGAGGTAAAGAGCCAGCTCAGAATGTCTAGAGCTGCCAGCAGACTCTGTGAAGCCTAATGACTAGCCAGCCAACCAACATACGGTCTTGATTAGCATTCAGCACTGAATCTACCCAACATGAATTTGGGCAGGTTCCACGACCAAGATGGCAAGCAGGCTCTGCAAGGGCCCCAGGACCAACGTGTGGAGCTGCAGATGGGGAGCAGCTCGTCCAGCTAAGGCAGTGAAGTCAGCTTTAGGCTTTTCCATCCCAGCCCCGGCCTCGGCCCAAAGGGGTGGGTCTATGTGGAGAGAACAGAAGCAGGTGTCTATCATCCCAGCTTCTACAGGAATTCTGCTCTCGGAACTGGGAGAGGGTGTTAACCCCCAGTAGTAAGAACACATGCAATGTGAAGCCTGCCTTGTGCCTCAGATCACACAGATATGATCTCTCCTGTGAGCTAGAAAAGAGGCAAGCCTGGAAGTAGTCAAACTGGCCTCACTCTAGCCCTGCTGCTGACGAGGCTTCAACTCTGAGCAAGTCACTCTATCTTCTTCTGCCAGCGTGTCCATAACTTGATGATGGAGACAATGCCCTACGCAGTCCTGGCGTTACAGAACACGTGTTTTACATTGACTGAAAAGTGAATTTTGGAGCAGCACATTCTGTTTTCCCATGATGATCAGTTCCAAAGCTGCAAAAGACTGAATCGAAAACGTGTGAGCAGACAAAGTATTAGTACTGGTCAGCCTCACGTCAGGCCCACACGTACGTTGTGTAAAATGTGCTCCAGCATTTTAGCACTTCCAAGGACTGCCTAATGCGGGGACACTGTCTCCGCCACCAGCCTCCACCTTCCTTCTTCCTCCCAGGTCTCCTCCTCTGAGCTGAGCGCTCATGAGGCCTCGACAGTCATGGCACCTCCGCCCTTCGCTTCCTTTGAAACCAGCCAGCCATCAGCCATGCAAATGCATCCAAGACGTGAGGGCTTCACAAAAAGTTGGTGGAAAATTGGAATGAAAAGACAATGGAATTTTGCCACACACTTTTTTGAAGCCCCTTCACATAAGACTTCAGGTGTTGAAAGGGGAAAAAAAAACAAAAAAACCTGACCAATTCTATTAAAACTTGTACACAAATTGGAATACATAAACATGCTTCCCACATGTTGACCTTATTTATATACTGAGTCAAACTAACTACAGACAGATATTTCTGAGACATGCATTTGAACAATGGCTGGATATGAGCTGACATTAAAAAGCCACTGTTAATTTTCTTAGGCATAGTAATATTTTATTAAAACCCTTATCATCTGGGAGTCATGCTGAAATATTTACAGATGTAATGCTACAACATCTGGAATTTCTTTTTAAAAATAACCTAGCGGGGAGGAGGTACCGATGAAGCAAGCCTGGCCTCGACTTAATGATGGAACTGAAGCTGGATGAGGCTCACGGATTTACGGCACCCGTCTCTCTTCTTTCGCGCAGGGCTAGAATTTCTCCCAGCGAGTTTAAATACATACATCTCTATTTGCCCAGAAGGAGACATATTTGTGAGAGAGAGATGAGCAAAGAAAACATGATAAACGTCAAAGGTAAAAACCGCATCAAAGACCTTATCAGAGCACACTGAGGCCAGTCACGAAGGCACAGAAAAGACACAGTATGCTCCCACTTAAAATAAAAAATGGGCATGTATTTGTGCGTGCTTGTATAAAGCCATAGAAAAATGGACAGAAAAAGGCGCTGTATTTGAATAGTCATTACACTCTGGTAGCATAGTGGTTACGAGTCAGACTGTTAACATCACAGTTAACTACCAGTGGTTCTGCAGGAGAAAGACGAGGCTTTCTACTTCCGTAAAGATTTACAGCCTCGGAAACCCTACCAGGGTCACTATGCGTCAGAATTGACTCCACAGCATATAACCACCACCACCATCACCACCACCTCGCAATAGGAGTCCTGGTATGGTGCTGTAGGATAAGCACTGGGCTACAACCACAAGGTCGGCAGTTCAAACCTACCAGCCACTTCTTGGAAACCCTACACAAGGTGGCTGAGTTGGAACCAACTCAACGGCACTTCACCACCACCACCACCACCACCTCTCATTAAGACAGAGAGGGGACTTTTACATTTTACTCTTTACATACTTGCATATTTCTCAAATCTGTACAAAGACAGTATATGTGGATGATTTTCAGCAACTGAAAGAAATAATGCAAACAGACTGAAGTAACACAAAAGATTTATTCACTGAGCAGACATTTCCTTCACTCCAGGTGCTTGCATTTCCCTGAGTGAAATCTTTCTGAAAGGAACACACCTATGGCTCAAAACGTCAAGAAGTCCTTAAAAGTAGTCTAATCTAACCCACATGTTTTCCAACTTCCAAGCCATCTGACATGGAGCTCCTGTTCAGACTATTGTGCATTCACTCCTCTGAATCTGGGAGCAAGACAGAGGATAAGAAACATTAACACACAAATCTACTACTCCTTCTCTGAACAGCGGGTCACTGAGGCTTCTGAATGAAACTCTCCATGTGCAAAGAGAAAGGTGGGCATGTGGTGCTATCGGATTCCCTACAATGCCTTACAAAACTACAAGCTCAGGGGAACTGGTGCAACCTTTGTGACCCCAAACACCTGAGCACGGGCAAGAACTAACACTTCCCTTGTCTGTTTGACACTTGCCTGCTGAAAAACGAAACCCATCACACATGTGCACGTCATCAAACTAAAATCCATCTCCCGTGCAGATACATATATCAAAATGTCAGCACACGGTGTTGTTGTTGTTAGGTGCCATCAAGTCACTACCGACTCATAGCAACCCTATGCACAACAGAACAAAATACTTCTCAGTCCTGGGCCAACCTCACAATTGTTGCCACGCTTGAGCCTACTGAAGCTGCCACTTTGCCAATCCATCTCACTGGGGGGTCTTCCTCTTTTTCTCTGACCCTCCACCTTACCAAACATGATATCCTTCTCCAGTGACTGGTCCCTCCTGACAATATGTCCAAAGTATGAGAGACGAAGTTTGGCCATCCTCGCATCCAAGAAGCACTCGGGCTGCATTTCTTCCAACACAGATCCGTTGGTTCTTTTGGCAGCCCATGGCACTTTCAATATTCTCCTCCAACACCAGAACTCAAATGTATCAAGACTTCTACAGTCTTCCTTATTCACTGTCCAGCTTTCACATACATATGAGGTAACTGAAAATACCATGGCTTGGGTAAGGCGCACCTGCTCTTCAACACTTTAAAAAGGTCTTGGACAGCAGATTTGCCTAATGCAATACATCGTTTGATTTCTTGACTGTTGCTTCCATGGTGTTGATGGCTGATATAAGAATGAAGTCCTTGACAACTTCAATCTTTTCTCTGTTGATAAGAAAATTATTTATTGGTCCAGTGGTGAGGATTTTTGTTTTCTTTATATTGAGATGCAATTCAAACTGAAGGCTGTGCTCTTTGATCTTCATCAGTAAGTATTTTAAGTCCTCTTCACATTCAGCAAGCAAGGTTGTATCATCTGCCATCGCGCAGGTTGTTAATGAGTCTTCCTCCAATCCTGATGCCACATTTTTCTTCATATAACTCAGCTTCTAGGATTATTTGCTCAGCATACAGGTTGTATAAGTACGGTGAACGAATACAACAACCCTTTCCTAATTTTAAACCATTCAGTGTTCCCATGTTCTGTTCAAACAACTGCTTCTTGGTCCATGTACAGATTCCTCACGAGCACAATTAAGTGTTCCGGAATACTCATACTTCACAACGTTGTTCCATAGCTTGTCATGATCCACACAATCGAAAGCCTTTGCTAGTCAATAAAGCACAAGTAAACATCTTTCTGGTATTCTCTGCTTTCAGCAGATCCATTAGACATCAGTAAAGATATCCCTCATTCCATGCCCTCTTCTGAATCCTGCTTAAACCTCTGGAAGTTCTGTCAATGTATGCTTGCAGCCGTTTCCATGGTACCTTTAGTAAAACTTTACTTGCATGGGATATCAAAGAGATTGTCAGATGATTTCTGCATTGTTGGGTCACTTCTCTTTGGAATGAGCACAAATACGGATCTCTTCCAATCAGTTGGCCAGATAGTTGTCTTCCAAATTTCTTGTCAGAGATGAGTGAGTGTGTCCTGTGCTGCCTCATTTTCTTGAAAGATTTCAATTTTTATTCCATCAATTCCTGGTGCCTTGTTCTTTGCCAATTCCTCCAATGCACCTTGGACTTCTTCCTTCAGTATCATTGGCTCTTGATCATTACCTCCTGAAACGGTTGAACATTAACCATTTCCTTTTGGTACAATGACTCTGTGTATTCCTTCCATCTTCTTTTGATGCTTTCTGCATCATTCAATAATTTGCCCAGAGAATCTTTCAATAACGAAAGTCGAGGCTTAAATTTTTTCTTCAGTTCCCTCAACTTGAGAAATGTTGAGCATGTTCTTCCCTTTTGGTTTTCTGACTCCCAATCTTTGCACATTTTGTTGTACTATTTGGCTTTATCTTCTCGAGCTGACCTTTGAAATTTTCTGTTCAGCTCTTGGACCTCCTCCTTTCTTCCATTTGCTTTAGCATCTCTACGCTGGAGAGCAAGTTTCAGTGTCTCTTCTGATATCCATTTTGACCTTTTCCTTCTTTATTGTCTTCTTAATGACTTTTTGCTTTCTTCATGCATGATGTTCTTGATGTTGTCACACAACTCTTTTGGTCTTCAGTCTTTAGTGTTTAATGTAGTAAATCTGTTCTTCAGATGATCTCTAAATTCAGGTGGGATATAGTCAAGGTCATATTTTGACTCTCGTGGACTTGTTTTCATTTTCTTCAGCTTCAGCCTGAATTTGCAATTGATGGTCTGTTCCACATTCTGCCCCTGGCCTCATTTTAACTCAAGATATGGAACATTTCCACTGTGTCTTTCCACAGATGTAGTCAATTTGATTTCTGTGCATTCTATCTGGTGAGATCCATGTGTATAATCGTCTCTTATGCTATCTAAAGAAGGTATTTGAAATGAACAAATCACTGGTTTTGCAGAATTCTATCATGCGATCTCCAACATCATTTCGATCACCAAGGCCTTTCGATCACCAACTACTGATCCTTCCTCTTTGTTTCCAACCTTTGCGTTCCAATCTCCAGTAACAATCACTACATTTTGATTGCATGTTTGATCAATTTCAGATTGAAGAAGTTGGTAGAATTCTTCTATTTCATCTTGTCCCAAACAGAAAAGCTCTTCTGAAAACAACCTCACAACAGGAGATGAAACCATTGCCTTCCCGACAGCTCTTTTCCTTCTCCGACCTCCGAAGCATCTCGCTTTCCCAAAACCACGAGCTCCAGACAACAGTGGCAGCCCACATTGGAACAAAGATACCTGCTTTCCATAGAACTTGTGCAGCTTGACTGTCCTTTCTCATCCAAGCTGGGTTCTACACCAGCATTGAAGGTGGGGGGCCTTCAGGTGTGCCAATACACCTCACTGTCTGTCTCTAGAGGTGAGTGTATTTCCAGATAGAAACGCAAAGCCAATTCTAGTGAATTGCTTCAAGCAAAGAAGGTTACGATTTAATCTTTTGGGGAAAAGTCATGCTAAGCTTGTATTTTCAGGATGACAATGTTCGCTGCTGATAACACAGCTGGTCTCAGGCTGTTTTCTGACACTTTTCATCACATTTCAAGAGTTAAACATTGAAAGAAAAAAAAAAGTAGAAAGAATGATAATAAAGGAGTTCATGTATAAACTCTTACAACAATCCTATACACTGAGGAGCCCTGGTGGCACAGTGGTTAAGTGCTCAGCTCTGAGAGGTTGGCAGTTAGAACCCAGCAGTAGTTCTGTGAGAAGAAGGTGTGGCACTCTCCTTCTGTAGAGATCACAGCCTTGGGGACTCTATGGGGCAGTTCCACTTGGTCCTACTGGGTCATTTACAGTCAAGAGTCGCCTCAGCGACATTGGGATGTTCTACACTCTGAGTATTTACTGCTCAGGACTCTTATCTTGGGCCCAACTTTCTGCTTTCTTCCAGACCTTGAGCCAAACACAGGGAGAGGAGCCTGAAGAGCACCTCCTCTCCGAGTTGTCCAAAAGAACTCTGGCCAAAATGGAAGTCAGCAGACAAAAGGGCAACTAACATAGAGAGTGAGCTGTGAGCCTCAATCATGCAGCCATGCCTCTGCACACCCTATCTGCCGGTCAGGTGGAAAAAGAAGGAAGACCAGGTGGAGGACAGGGAACGATGACTGGGGGAAAAAGCAGGGCAAATGAAAATTGGAATGCCCCCATTTCCCCGACATGACAGACCTTACACATCTGTGCCCTTTCCCTTCAGTTAAGCCTGGGCTTTATGTTCTGCAGATGTTCCAGAATCCAGAGAGAGCAGACACAAGTCAGTCATGAAGCAGGCCTTAAAGGGTGGGGGTGCTGCTCTCAGCAGAACATAATGCAGACTAAGAACAGTTTTCCTCCAGGAGCCTTAGGGAGCAGTGAGTGTACGTGTGTTCATGAGGGAGGAACCATGCAGAAAAGGACAGTGAGAAAGGCTGCACAACTTGAAGCATGTCATCACTCACTGACTTGTACACTTGTACGTGTAGAATCGGTTAGATAGGGTATGTTTTGCTGTGTCTATTCTCAACAACAAAAATTAAATAAATTATATATATATATATATATATATATATATATATGGAAAAAAACTGAAGCTGTCTAAGATTTCATTTTACTTGGGTCCACAATCAATTCCCTTGGAAGCAGCAGTCAAGAAATCAAATTGTGTATTGCACTGGGTAAATCTGCTGAAAAAAGATCTCTTTACAGTGAATAAAAGCAGAGATGTCATTTTGAAGAGAAAAATGCACCTGATTCAAGCCCCGATCTTTTCACTTACCTCATATGCATGTGACAGCTGCACAATGAATAAGGAACACTGGGGAAGAGTTAAATTATGGTGTCTTTGAATTATGGCAAACAATATTAAATATATCATGGACTGCCAGAAGAACAAAATCTATTAGAAGAAGTATAGCCAGAATGTTCTGCTCCTTAGCAGCGAGGATGGTGAGACTTTGTGTCAAGTACTTTGGACATGTTACCAGGAGGGACCAGTCCCTGAAGATGAACATCCTGCTTGGTAAAGCAGAGTGCCAGTGAAAAAGAGGAAGACCCTCAACAAGATGGACTGACACAATGGCTGTCAACAATGGACTCAAGAACAGGAATGAATGGAAGGATGGACAGACTGGGCAGTACTGTGTTCTATTGTACCCTGGGTAGCTATGAGTGGGAACTAACTCAACCGCACCTAAAAACAACATGTGAGTGTGTGTGTATGTATAAAATAATGTTTTGAAAGGCTATAGTAGGCCATAAGCTTAGGTTTTCCACAACAGATTTAAGCAGGCCTCAATACATATGTCCATGTCTTAGTGAAGGAAATTTATAATAGAAGGATAATTTCTATTTTCTGATTACAAAGTCCCAGTAGGCTTAAGAATGTGATTTTACAAGAACGAAAGTATCTTACATATACTTAATCCTCATAAACCTATCAAAAGGAGAGTCCTAAATCTGCCCACCTGTCTCTGGGGACATCAAGGGCTGTGTTGTAATCTGGTGGACTCCCAGGCAACATGTTGAACAGCAGGTGATTTGTACCTCGATCCCACCTAGAGAGAAATCAGACACATAGGAGAATTCACATTTCAGGTATGAAAAAACAAAAACAGAGTCAGTTACCAAATGGCAAGTAGTAAGTACTACCAAACCAAAACAGGACCACTTCTCAGGCATACAAAGTAAATTTTTCTAGAAATTAGGCACTCGTCTAGATCTTCAGGAAGGAAAAATGGGTGAGTATATTTCAAGCTTGTTCACTACAGAACTGTTCCTAGTAAAGAAAACTTGGAAATTACTTCAACTTTCAACATTTGGTTAAAGACAATTTAAATAAAAGCTAGAACTGGCTAAATACTCATACACAGGAAACATCTATGAAATAAAATACTATACAACCATTAAAATTATATAATAAAAGAATATAAACTATTAGGAAATACAGTAAAAAAAAAAAAAGAAAAGAAAAGAAAAAAAGTAATGTTCCATGTGGCTTCATTCTTGTAAAAAAAAAAGTCAAGATAAACATTAGGGGATTTTTCAAAAAGTTCATGGAAAAAAGGAATAAAATGATAATGGAATTTTTCCACAAACTTTTTGAAGCCCTTTGTTTATTTGTACAAAAATGACTGTAAGGTAACATCAGAATATCTTATTTGTTACCATTATTTCTTTGAGGTAGGATTACAGAAGGAATCTTACATTCTTTTTGCTTACTTGCATTTTCCAAACTTTCTATATGAACATGTATCATGTACGTAACACAAATGACGGGAAACTATTTAAACAGAAAAGGAAAAGCATGGTTAAAAGCTCCATCCTTAGTTTTTAATCTCTGTAGAGTTGGGAACCCAGAGCAGTGCTACCAGAAACAGTGGATCCACAGCCCAGAGGCATACAGCACACATCTCATGCTGCAAGTCCATCGCTCATCCACACCCCGTCCTGGGAGAGAAGAGACGACAGCTGGTAGCCAGCTCAAGAGGAGAAACACCTTCCCCCTTAGCTCCCTGAAGACAATCGAAATGGCCCTCGGACTCTGGTCTGTTAAAGTGTTACCTACCTAGAGAGCTGGGCCAAGGCTTGGGCAGTTTCCTTAATGCGCAGCGTGTTCTGGTTCAGCACGTCAATGGACGGCACAAACAGGCAAGCCCGGTTGATGTCGTCAGTATAGTAGTCACTGTCTGAGATAGCCGTGAGCAGTTCATTATATTCCCGGGAGATGGTGTTGCTGACTGGCACACCCAAGTCATCCACGTACTTCTTCAAAGAGTAGATGTACACCTTGATTTTGTTCTTTGGGTTGAACCCGCAGCGGTAGACATCGAAACACGTGTGCATTCTGCAGCTGAGGTCCCCTCGCTCTGAGATGGGGCTGTCGGCAGGTAGCTGGACCACTGGCATGTCACGGACGCTGCGCTTTTCTACACCCCAGTCATTTGAGGACTCGATGGAATGGGGCCAGAACTGAAACACGCCAGTGGCGATGAGGCCCAGGAGGATGATGGAGAAGAGGGTGATGTAGTAGATGCGGTGCTTGGTCTTCATTCTCGGGATGAGGGCAGGACCCCGAATATTGTACTTGACCGATGCACACATAATGACACACACAGCCTCTTCCTCTCGCTCCTGGTTTTCAGGTAGAGAAACGAGAAGAATCAAGAACTTAGGGCAACAAGTGACACTTGAAAGGATGGCTCAACTTTCAATACACCCATATCGTTCCCGTAAGTGGTTTGAAAATAATAAAAAAACTATGTTTTCCCTAAAAACGTGATTTTTGTCCCTTCATCTAATATATAGATATAGATATATTTAATACGCTGTTATTGCTAAGTGCCATCAAATCAATTCCAACTCATAGGGACTCATATAGGATTTCCACGGAGTAGTGGGCTGGAACTGCTGACCTTGTGGTTATCCTAGAATGCCACACCCGGGCTCCAATTACGATTCTGCTGCTGCTGTGTGCTGCTGAGTCAGTTCTGACCCATAGCCACCCTATACAGGAATGTTTCCAAGGCAGTAAATAGTCATGGGATAAGAAAGCCTCATCTTTTTCCTGAGGAGAGGTTGATGGATTCAAACTGCTGACCCTGAGGTTAGCAGCCCTACATATACTTCACTATGCTACCAGGGCTCCTTCCATTTAATATAAATAATTTATATAAGTGTTAATAAATAATAACAAATGAATCCGTTGCCGTCAAGTCAGATTCTGATTCACAGGGAAAGGACTGAGGCTGAGCTGTGGGATAAAGCTCGGGGCCACAAGGTCACTTTGAACCACAAAGTTGGCAGGTCAAACTCACCAGCCGCTCCTCAGAAACCCTATACAAGGTCACAATGAGTGGGAACCAACTCAACGGCACTGAGCAACAACAACAACAACAACAATACAACAATCTTTACAGAAGCCGACTGCCTCATCTTTCTCCCATGGAGCAGCTGATGGTTTCAAACAGCCAGCTTTTCAGTTAGCAGCGGTTACTATACTGTGCCACTAGCAACCCTTAACAAATAACATACTATAAATATAGGAGGTGCCTGAGAAAGTTTGTGGAAAAATAGAGTTAAAAGATAATGAGGGTGGGGCCTGGTGGAGGATAGAGTGGAGGTGCAAGGAAGTCGTGGTCAGGAATACCACAGAATACCAGGCAAAGCAGGTTCAAGGAAGAGCTCCAAAACTCTGAACCACATACATAGGAATATTTTTAAAGTTTGAAGGCTTATAGCTAGTGGAACTTGTACCAGATATATGAAATTTACCACTTTTGAATCTGCCGGGTTCGGCTGTCCACAGCCAACAACTTGGACAAGACCAAATGGCAAGACCATGCGGGGGAGCAGACCCACCATGGAATAACACTGCAGGAACCTCGGAGAAAAGGTGGACCGTATACTTTGTCCATTTGTTCTGATTTTTTTTCTATTTGCGCACCTCCATTCTGGTGACTAGAAGGGGTGCCTGAGCGAGTGGACACCCCATACAGCCAACACAGGTGGGTTCTGCCATGCATGCACACAGATACTGTCAGCCAAAGAGCTAGCCCTGAACTATTTTTTAATAGGGAAAAGGCCAGAACAAGGGGTGTGGAGAGGGAAGGAGACTTTAAAAACAAAACAGGCCAAAAATTAAATTAAATCCTGATGTACAGCATAACAACCAACAGTGGTATCTTGAAATCTCTCACGCAGCTTGAAGTCAAGAAACTAAAAGAGAACATTTAAGTCATACTCATATGAGGCTACATGTGTATATATATGTATATATATATATATTTTTTTTTCTCCCTCCTCTCCCTTTTCTGAAATTATACACTACAGTATCCAATCTAGTTTGCTGGTGCTGTTGTTACTTTGGTGGTTTTTTGTTTTGTTTTGTTTTCTTGTTTTGTGGTTTGTTTGTTTTTTTGCTGTTTTATACTCCCCCTTTTTCCTTTGGGGAACTCTTTCTCTCCCTATATTACACAAGAAGAGACAGCAACTGCTGCCCTATAGTCAAGCTACAAACACTCCATAAAACACCAAAATCCAGGCAAGAACCAATACCAACTGCCATACACCATGGGGGCAGACAACACCTCTGAAAGTTACACTGAGTTAAGCAATAAGAAGAGTGAAAAAGGAAGCCCACATCCTGATCACCTCTACATGAAGGCAATCAGAAAGCATAAAAATACCAAAACACACATTAAGTTTAAGCATTAAGGCCACAGATAAACACTAAACATGTCCAAGAAGCAAAAGCAGATGACCATATCAGCACTTGTCTAGAAACAAGATAAAATGTCTGAGACAAATGACCTAGAGGTAGACCTGGACTCCATTCTAGAAGGAGGGCAGGCCTTAGAAATGTCTCAGAAGGAATTCAGAAAAATGATTATAAAATGTTTCAAAACACTTTACAATGGAGTTGAGAAAAATAAGGAATAAATCAGAAAAGCGCTACAGGAACAATCAAATAAGATAGACACAGCTATTGGAAACAATTCAAAACCTACAGAAAGACGTCTAAACGATCAATAATAGAACATCAGAAATAGACAATACACTGAAAGGGCAAAGGAGCAGAATAGAAGAGATGGAAGGCAGAACTAGTGAGCTGGAAGATAAATCTCTAAATACCACTAAGATAGAAGAACAAACAGACAAAAGGATCAAATCTCTGAAAAAGGTCTAAGATTCATATTGGAAAACATGAAGAAGAATAACCTAAGAATTACTGGCATTACAGAACAGGAAGAATCATACACGTCCACAGAGGAAATAGTTGAAGAACTGCCAGAAGAAAATTTCTCCAACATCCTGAAAAGTGAAAATATAACATTCAAGAAGTTCAACGAACCCCAGGAAGGATAGACGCCAAAAGGAAATCACCGAGACATATTATAATCAAGCTCTCTAAAATCAAAGATAACGAGAGAATCCTGAAAGCATCTAGGAAAAAGAAAAGTGTTACATACAAAGGCAAGCAAGTCAGATTAAGCTCGGATCTCTCAGCAGAAACCAGGAAGCAAGAAGGCAATGGAGAGACAGATATAAAACCCTGAAAGAAAAAACCTGTCAACCAAGAATCCTTTATCCAGCAATGCTATCAAATACAATGGTGTAATAAAAATATTCCAGAATAAACAGAAGCTAAGAGATTTTTCCAAAGCCAACCCTACACTACAAATCATCCTAAAAGGAGTTCTGTGGACTGAGAACCCACAAGAACGGACAACCACCAGAGACTGACATATGTGGCAGCAGCTCCCAGAACTATATCGACAAAATGGAGTCGAGAACAGAACAAAACTATAAGAAAAAACTCAAGAGAATCTGGGAGCTCAGTCTATGATCAAAACAATTACAATGTGAAAGAAGGTAAACACGTAGCAACAGAGATCCAGATGGTGAGAATCTCAGGTAGATTACAGGATAAAATAGACTGCACTAAATGGAGGGAAAAGGTAATGGAATATAAGTAACCACAAAGAAAATTAACACTTCACAACAAACCAAGATAATGAAAATCCAAGAAGAACACAGAAATATTAACACTATAAGGAAACTCACAAGAAAGAACACAAAAAGCATGAATTTAGCAAAGGAAGACACACAGAACAAAGAAAGCAGAAACACCACACACAAAAAAAATAAAATGGAAACAATTAATCCATACCTATCGATAATTACTACTAAAGGAGGAAGTCTAAGGTGCATTGAAGGAATTGGCAAAGAACAAGGCACCAAGAATTGATGGAATAAAAACTGAAATCTTTCAAGAAAGTGAGGTGTCACAGGAGGCACACACTCATCTATGACAAGAAATTTGGAAGACAACTATCTGGCCAACTGATTGGAAGAGATCTGTATTTGTGCCCATTCCAAACAGAGGTGACCCAAAGGAATGTGGAAATCATCAGATAATCTCTTTGATATCCCATGAGTAAAGTTTTGCTAAAGGTAATACAGAAA